AATTAAAATTAATGGTGCACGAAATAATTAATAATTGAATCACGTGCCAAATAATTAAAAATAATAAATTAAAAGTGGTGTCGTTCCAACCACACACGTGGTTTAAGAGCTCGTTGCCACAAACATAAAAAAATATTGAAAACATAAAATCGTTTCCACAGAATAAAAACGAAAGTTTGATGATGTCATTCCATCACGTGATACAAGATGGCGCTGGTGTCGTCACTTCCAGTTCCAGGCCCCTCTGGATACTGGCCACGCCCCTTTTCTGTGAAGTCACTTCCGCCTACTGAGTAACCCCGCTTACTTCTCACGAATACAGAAATGTAGCATTCCATTGGTTTTACTCCTCGACCTTGCCTGGGCTTCACTTGAAATGGCCCGGCGTAGTCAATTCCAACTTTGGAGAAAACCTTTGACGGAACGACTCTAGACGATGGTAAATCAGACATTATCTGGGTAGATGTTTTAGCTCGTACACGATGACATTTCACACATTTCCAAATCTGTTGTCTTACAACTGACCTAGCGTGGATTATCTAATATTCTCTTCTAATTACTGATAGCAATAGCAGGGGGCCAGCATGAAGATGGGATTCATTGAAAATGATTCACTATAATCTGTGTTATGTGATGTTTCTTGGGAAACAAAAAATAGGATATTTTCTGTCCTGGCGCGATGTTGGATTGTCTTAATCTTCCTCCAACGCGTATAAGTCATTATTATCGATAAAGGGGGTTCAAAGAAGGATCTTACTATTTGAGTTTAACGGTTGCTTCATTTTCAGAAGATTATATTCATTAAAAACTCATCCATTTGAACTACTCTAACAATTGCATTTCAAGCGTATTGCAATTCTTCGGTTTTAAGGTAACCCTTAATCCTTGTTGCGGTAGATTAGCTAATTGAATATTCGCAACCGAAAACATCATGCGATGATTCTTTTAAGTTTCGAAATGATGAAACTTCATTAAGGCCTGGAATTTGCGAAGCGACTGTTCCAATTGAACAAGAAATATTTTTCCGTTGTTCCTTTAAAGACGCTTCTGAAAATGATAAGTTGATAGAGAATGGAATATTATTTGAATTAAGCCACTGAGGACCTGTCCACCACAAGTCATGAGTAGAAAGCTCTGAAGGCAAAAGACCTCTTGATGCGCAATCAGCTGGATTCTCCTTTCCTTTTATGCGACTCTAATGCGATGAAGGTAAGACTGATTGAAATTCTGAAACGCGGTTGGCTACGAAGGTTTGCCAGAGTGTTGGTTCTGATTGTATCCAGGACAAAACTATCATCGAATCACTCCATACGTAAATATCGTCAACATGAATTTGGAATTAATTCTGCACAGCTTGAACCAAATGCACTAATAGAACTGCAGAGCAGAGTTCTAAACGAGGAATAGAAATTACTTTCAGGGGAGCTACGCGAGTTTTTGATGTTAGTAGCTGCACCGAAATTGAAGAATGATTGAAGACTTTAAATAAATCACTGCGGCGTAAGCTTTCTCTGATGCGTCACAGAAACAGTGAAGTTCTTCATTTGTAGATTTGGGCAATAATACTCTCCTAGGAATATGAATGCATTCAAGATTTGAGATATCTTCAAAATTGATTTTCCATCTTTGATTGATTCCATCTGGCAAGGGATCATCCCACGGGATTTGTAATTTCCATATGTCTTGAAGCAAGATTTTTGTTTCAACTATAAAAGGTGCTAACCAACCAAGTGGATCAAAGATTTTCGAAATAGAAGATAAAAACTATTCTTTTAGTAGAACACTCTCTGTTTTCGAGATTTCCTAAGTGACAAGTAACTCGTCTTGTGTTGTATACCACTCCAAAACCAATAATTTATTGATTTATTATCAACTACTGTACATGAAGAATTTGAGTTCCCGAGCACCCAAAGCAGTTTTCAAAATCGAGCGATCGTTTGTACACCATTTATGCAATTGAAAGCCACCTTTTTGTAAAAGTTCACTCAGTTGTGAAATTAACTCTACTGCGTCCTCTACTGGTGTAAGACTCGATTCTTTCTCTGTGGTAAGACTCGATTCTTTTAGCACGTGATGATGAGGTATATAATAATGAAAATTTACTTTATCTAGATTATCATCGGATAATTCTTCCATGTGTCCAAGTGATAAATATTCGGACATGAAGTCTTTATATTGTTGATATACTTCAGGAGTTTTTATTAGTTTTTGTTCCAGACTAAGAAAGTTGCGAAAGGCTGATGGTCTGGAATTACCTAACTCATTTCTTTTAGGCTTGAATGGCAATTTTACTGAGTAACGACCATTTTCACTACGGACGTGATTTTCCACGAAATGGTTTTCACACAATCTTTCCTCTTTAGTTAAAGGTTTCGATGTGGGAATTTGTTCCAAATCCCAAAATGATTTAACTAATTCCTCCGTGTTTACGTTTAGCGTATTGACTGAAACCTGCTTACGGTTTGGGAATTCAAAATGTGTAGTTCCATCCTAACTTAGAACAACATGCAAATGGAAGATTTTTGCCCCTTTTAATTACTTCGCCATTGATTAAAATAAGGAATACATTAACTCCAAGCAAAATATCAATATGCTATGATGATGCTTAAAACAATGCTTGCAGCTATTTGCACTCTTACACATTTTAACTTTATGGACAAGCAATTAAAACAAAGTTTATTAGTCTTAACAAACTCTATAAGTTTTTGCACTGGTAAATTTAAAAAATTAGAACACCTGTATAAAAAATGATCTTCTTTTCAAAATAAGCAAGTAGAATTAGTAATCAGAGAAGTAACCCTATATGCACTGGTTTATGTGATTTATATGCGTTTACTAATTAAAGGTTTTACTGTTCTGTAATGTTCTAGCGTAATTCTTCAAAAATTCTATCAAGTCATTCAACTTTGGTATTTCGACTTTTTTTAATTGACGCTCCCACCACAACTTTCTCGAAACATCAAGTTTTTGCAAAATAATATACAACAACAAAATATCACTAAAATTATCTATCCTTTGATTCTAATATTTCCAATGAGCGAGTTATTTCGTTTACGTTATCTACTAAATATCGAGGATGCAGATTCCGTTTGTATTTGTGAAACGTTAAGAATTCTTTTAATAAAAGCAAATATCTGTTCTCTCTTATTAGAAAATCTCTCTTCTAGTAAATTCCAAGCAATACTGAAATTTTGATAAGCTATGGGAATTGACTGAATAATGTGATAAGCATCATTTTTCAAAGAACTCTTTAAATATTGTAATTTTTGAGCTCCAGAAAGATTTGGATTGTTGCGAACACTAGCGTTAACTAAATCTTTAAATGTTATCCATTCAGTTAAATTTCCGCTAAATGTGGGTAAGATATTTTCGGTAACTTTAAACTTTCAGAGATTGATTCAGGTACGACAGGTTTGTCGCCATTTGCATTTACGACCTTGTAAATCTTTAAATTACGAATAATTTTTAAGTGAACCTCCTCAATTTTCTCTAAAATCGACTTTCTTTCCTCAACGAAAGTGTCTATTTTATCATCATCACAATTTGTATAAATTTCTCTAAACGAGATTTAAAATCTTCTTAAAGATTTTACATTTTATAATATTAATTCAGCTTCAGCATTATCTAAGCTATCATAATCTATTTTCTCGATAAATTTCATTAACTGCGTTTTCAAAATTTTCTTTCGTTTTTTTTTTCTATAACTGACATTTTGAAAATATTCTAAATTCACGATTTTACTAATACTTTAAACACAATAAAGTAGCAATAACGAAATGTCAAATGCAATTAAAATGCATTAACTGTTTCACTCACCTCGTACACTGTATCCATTGCGAAACTCTTGAGAATTCTAAACTGAAATTGCATTATCAACTCTATTACAGACACGTAGAATTCTTATTCACAAGCGCGGGATTTTCTCGAAGCTCCGGCGTAGGACGACCAAATAATTGTAGCATAGCGGTATCTTAACTTTAAATTAATAAACCTAAGAATACATCAATGCGAGTGGACTGTAAATTAACCTTTATTCGGCAGTTTGAACTTTTGAACACAACACAGCACAAAGTAAAACGACAGAGTTACAATTAGCGTTTTCAAGAATGCAAGAACAAAATGCGAGCTGCGCATACAATCTGCGCATTGCGAAATAATATCTCACAGAGAGGCAGAGACCTCTGGTGGCCGAAACACATTGTTTTCATTCACAATCCTCATAACTTCTGTTGCATAGCTATTCAAGAATTTTCGTTTTTCAATTACATTCTGTTCATTTATTTTTCCAAATCTCGTCCTCACACTCTCGGTCAGTTTACATTCTTCTATGAATGTAATTCCGTACTTCCCACAAGGCAAGCATTGGTGATTGCCCTGGAGATTAAATCGTTTAAAATAGGCCGGGAATCTACCATGATCCGTGATAACTTGAATAGTATCTATATTATTAAATAGAACTGTAAATGTGAAGGAACTCAAAACACGTCCTCGTTTTAACCACGAAACTTATATTAAATAACTGCACAATACAAGTATAAACAAGAAAATAACATATAACACTTATAATTACGAGAACAGAACAAAAAACAGTGAAGAATAGACAGCATAGCAGCTGCCTTGCGAATGCGTTCGCTGAGTCTGACTCTTCAACTGAACTAAATGTTCTTTGGCATAGTTCCAAATGCAAAAGAGTGAGGTTGAGTTGTTCTGTTCCGGCGCATCGGAACATACTCCCACCCTATCAGGCATTAGTCCTGATATATGGGCAAAGGTGCTAATTTATGAATGTTTCTTTTAAAAATAGAGTTTTTAGTTTTAACCGTGGCCACTCGAACCAGTCCGTCAGTACCATGATGAAGTTCGACCACTTGTCCTAGTGGCCAAGAACCTGGAAGATGACTATCATCTAGTAACAGGACGATGTCTCCAATTTTTATATTCGGCTGAGTGTCCTTCCATTTCTTTCTGGTTTGAAGCGAAGATAGATATGCTTTGGTCCATTATTTGCAGAAGTCCTTGCGCATCTTTTGAAGGAGATCCCACCTATTCCGTATATTAGCAGGACTAGTAAGAGGTAGTTCAGGAGGGGATAGGATCACGTCTCCTGTAAGAAAATGTGAAGGAGTGAGAATATTAATGCAATCAATGTCAGTATTGTTTACACTACATAACGGACGAGAATTTAAAATGGCTTCTATCTGAGCCAATAGAGTTGTCAATTCTTCGAAAGTAAGTAGAGTTTCACCTATTACTCTTTTACAGTGATATTTGGTTGATTTAATTGCGGCCTCCCAAATTCCTCCGAAATGAGGAGATGCTGGAGGTATAAAGTGCCATTCTATTGATGCTTGAGTTAAATGATGAGCAACGGCTTCGTTCTTAGGAAGTGAAGCCCCCACAATCGTTGTATTTCGCTGAGCTTTTCGATTAGCCCCAACGAAGTTTGTTGCATTGTCGCTGTAAATGTGACTTGGAGCTCCTCGTCTAGCACTGAAGCGACGCAAAGAAGCAGCTAAAAATGCATCAGCGGTTAAATCGCTGACTGCCTCGATGTGTAGTGCCTTAGTAGCGAGACAAATAAATAGAGCAATGTAACCCTTGGTTGATTTTGCTCCACGACCCTTGTTGAATTTGATTGAAATAGGACCGGCATAGTCCACTCCGCAGTTGAAGAAAGGCCTCTCGAGTGTTACACGATGCTTAGGTAGATTACCCATAAGCTGGGATGCGGTGGATGCTTTAAATTTGAAGCATTTGATGCATTTGTAAACACATTTGTTAATGAGCTTTTTTCCACCTATGATCCAATATGATTGTTTGATAATGTGGGACAGTAATGAAGCACCAGCATGTAAATAAGTCACATGCTTTTCTTTTACGATGAGCTCACTTATCTTGTGTTTAGCAGGTAGAATCACTGGGTGCTTTTGATTAAAGATAATTCTGAATTTTGTAAACGCCCTCCCACCCGTAAAAGACTGTTTTCATCTATAAACGGATGGAGGGAGTGTAGCTGACTTTTCTTAGGCAACGATCTTTGATTTTTAATGCATTTTAAATCTTCATTAAAATAATCTTTCTGAACCCACCGAATTATAATTATTTCTGCATTTTTAGTTTCCGTGTAAGTGAGTGAAGAAAAGGAATCAGTTATAAGTGTTTGACATTTGTTCTTGGTTTTGCACTTATTGATGAATCTTAAACAATATGGTAAAATGCGTATAATCTTAGAAAATGATGAATATTTTTCAAATAAATCACTATATAATTCACTTAATGAAAATATAGGATCAGATCTTTGTTTAGCTTTAATTAAATCCTTGATTTCTTTGGAAGCGGATTCCTCTTTCGGCCAGTGAGACTCCAAAAAAAGCCAACTTGGGCCATTCCACCACAAGTTGCAATTAGGAAGACATTTGGGATCAATACCACGCGAAGCGATATCTGCTGGGTTCTCTTTGGAAGGGACATGCCTCCAGTATTTTGTTGGAAGTACTTCGATTATTTGAGACGTCCGGTTTGCAACAAAAGTCTTCCATTTACGGGGATGTGCCGAAAGCCAGGAAAGTACGACTTTGGAGTCAGTCCAAGCGTAAACATCAAACTTATATTTTTTGAGAGTGTTCATGACTGCACGATATAACTTTGAAAGCAAATGAGCACTGCATAATTCCAATTTAGGAACAGATACTTGTTTGATAGGTGCGACTTTAGTTTTAGAAACTAAGAGAGAAACTCTTTATTTCATTTCCGTGTATTTGTTTGCAATATATTGCAGCAGCGTAAGCAAGTGTTGAAGCGTCGCAAAAGCCGTGCAATTCAAATGTGTCAGAGGAAATAAGCGTGACACCTCTAGGAACGGTAAAATGTTCAACTGCATTGAAAGATTTCTGAAATTTAAACAAATCTTCAGCAAGACTTTGTGGAATAGGAGAATCCCAGTCCCCTTTTGTAAGCCAGAGCTTCTGATAAAAAATTTTCAATACAACAGTACATGGTGAAATTAATCCTAATGGATCGAAAATGCGTTGCCGATTGGGACAAAATGTGTCTTTTTGTCAGCGGTGAGGTGAGTGCAAGTGCGGGTTTGAAAATGAATGTGTCTGTTGAAGAGTTCCAAAATAATCCTAAGACTTTCGTGCTTTCCTTATCATTAGGAATTATTTCTAAATTAGTGTCCGTTGAACAATGTTCTTGAAATTCTGCAAGAAATGCATTTGAATTAGAATTCCACTTTCGTAGGTGGAAACCGTGCGTTTGTAAAATATTGGTAATTTCCTTACAAAGTGATATTGCATCACTATCGGTACTTGAACCCGATAGCAAATCATCCATGTATACATCGTGTAGTAAAGTATGAGAAACAGCAATATTTTGTGAATAATCTAGTGCAATTTGCTTAATGCACCTAGTGGCTAGGAAAGAAGCTGGAGCTAAACCATATGTTA